ATTGAAGTGAACCATAGCTTGAGAAACACAAAACTAGAGACAGACTCATAAGCATCCTTACCTTTTGATGTAAAGAATTATGTTAACAAAGCAAAGAAACTATGTAGAATCCTGGAAGTGTTGAATACAAAAGTTTAATGCCTTTTAGGTTATGTTACTGGCCCCTCTGTGACTGGTAGAGATGGGAAAAGATTTAGATCCAGGGACCTTTTCAATAGTAAGGAATGATCCTTCCAGAAGTTGTTCTAAGGGCTTTATTAGTATTAAATTTATTCATATATAATCTTTACAACAACTTAAGAAGGTAGGTACCACTATTATTACCACTAACACATAAGAAAACTGAAGAACAGACAGTGTAAGTAACTTGTCCAAGGTCACATAGCTAATAGGTGGAGACCTGAGATTCCAAACTAGGTGTTTCCTACACTAGTGTCCATGTTCTTACTCACTGCATTGTGCTACTATTGAGTACATAAACAGAAATGCTAGCTACTACCAATAATCACTGGGGTGGCTCTTTGCATATTCTAAGGCATATCCCAGTAAATATCAGGGTGAAAAAGTCATAATACAACTATACATTTTAGATGCCTAACCACATTAAAACAGTACTTTCCAATCTGGTTACACATTAAAATGACCTGAGGAGCTTTTAAAATATTTCAGTGTCCAGTCCCACTACACACAAATGAAATCAGAATAGCTAAGGGGGAACCCTGGCATAAGTACTTTTTAAAAAGTTCCCCCAAATAATTTTAATGTGATACCATTGCATTAGGCAGTTAAAAACACATATTTACTTAAAATTTAAAAGTATTCATGTCTTTGCAGATGGCCTCCTTTTGTTTTGCTTTAAGAGAATGAAAGAACGTTTACTAAATATTGTACGTATAGTTTGTGGAGTGTTGTGCAGTGGACTGAATTGAAATGCTTAATTACCAATATATGCATAGTTATAAATTTGTTCAGTTTTATTTGTCTTTTTATTAAAAGGGATTTGGAGATAATAATGTGACAATCAATTGTTTAGAATAACAATTAAGTAGTGTGATGACTCGTAGGGCATTTATAAGCCATTCCCTCCTAATTTCCTGATTCTGGATAATTTCCCTTTATTCAAAGGTAAACTACAATTATTTCAGAACACACTTACGCCTACTGTGATGAAATGCCACATTTCTTCACATTCTCTTTTTGGATCAAGTCCGTCTGAGTAGCCAGGCTCCTTTATCTATATCTGACACTTTTAAAGTTTTGGATGAAACATCTGTTTTTCATTTTAAAAATGTCAGCTTGTCCATCTTGAATGGGCATTGGGTAAAGGAGACAAATCCGGCTTTGTCTAAAGAGCCCATCTTGATTGTTATGCCAAAACCATATTTCCTCCATTAATCAGATTCCTTAACAACTTGCCAGCAAAGGCAGTGGGCAGTGGATAATCCTGCGGTACAACTTCTATGCTAACCACTCCAGAAAAGACTGTGTAGGGGACAGTAAAGTGTGCTTTCTCTCCAAAGTGTTGTTTTCCTACTACATGTTGTTCTTTACTCTACAATTTAAGTATCACAGTCACAAAAAAGATCCAGGGAGGTTTAAAAATAATGGCTGGTGATCTGTTCAGCCCCCTGTCCCCCGCCATACCCCTTTCTCTGCAGAATCACTAGTCTTTGTACTCAGCTGAGCTGACGGCTTTCTGTATTTCCCATGGGAAGGCCTAGCTCAGGAGCTACAGCCCCAGGGATTCTTTTACAACTGAAAAGATCTTTATAAAATGATATTTGGGAGACTAGATCCTCAACTCGACTCTGAGCCTCATAAAGACCCTCTTTTCCTCCCTTTACCCAACCCCCCAGGATATGGAGCCTCACAGTTTTCCAAGAAGTGGTGGGAAAGAATTAGAGTAGAATTTCACTACTGCTCAGATACTCTCCATGATGGTAAAAATCTTTTTTCACCATGCTCAATCCAAACACAAGGCCGTTATTCTAACCTGACAATAATACAGGTGAAGAGAATTTGGGGATGGCAAACCTCTAACAGGAGCTAGAATAAAATGCTCAAGCAGCCTAGGAGTAGTGGCCCAGGCCCATCTCCTAGGGTTCCACATGCCTCCATGGGTCAGAACCCATGTCACCTTTTCCTTTGCCAAGCATATAACACATGACTTTGTTTGGTGTTTGTTTGCTAAATGTTTACTGATGAATGAAAGTAGAAGTCACAGAAAAGGGTAATGGGCATATTTTGGCCATTGTTGAAATGGGGGAATTGGTTGCTTAGAGCAAAAAGCAAAATGACATTTTCACTTGTAGACTGCATTCCATGACTACTTGGGTCTTGGTTAATTCTCAATGCCCCCAGCTCCCTAAATCTGGCAAGATTTATGAATGCGCGGAACTCTCTGCCAAGTCACATGTGCAAGCTGGCCTTAGCTTAGCAACAGTGGCTCCAATGCTTCCAGTGAACTTTTTTTTTCAGCTCTGCCTTTCTGGTTGGCTGTCAGCGTGATCTCATTAAGGCTGAGTGACCCAGGCCTGACTGTGGCAGCTCACACTGTTGGTATGCTGCTACTGTTTTCTCTCCCAAGACATCTGCTTCAGCACTGCTTCAGATAATACTTCATTATGTCCTGGAAATGTTTCTTACTACTTTGTGCACCATTGTGTGTCGTTCTCTTTGAAGTTAATGTGAGTCTTATGTGATGATATGATATACATCAGAGTATACCTAAAAATGATGGCTTACTGCATAAAAAAAATTAGAAAGATCCGCTTTTCATTTGTTAAATTCAAAACAACAGAACTCTAGTTTTCCTTTAGAAATGCAGGCAGTTTGCTTAGAGATTGAAGAGAGAAAGAGGAAAATAGTTTTTCTTATCCCTGCAGATCAGACCTTCAAGGCAGTTAAGGAACACTCATGCATCTGGGGAAGTGATGGGCTTATTTGGTGTTTATGGATCTTAAAGCCCCTAATAAGACTCTGGAAGTACCTATATAGCAAATGTTTAAGTTAGAAAAAAGTGTTTCACATTCTACATTATGACTATGGGTGAGTATCTATTAGGACCCTATCTGTCTTTAAACCACCAAGCTATATAGGGGCTGTGTCAATAGTTCTTATATCTGTAAATATTTGGTAATGAGCAAAATATTTAGACTTAACAATAGTTAAGGTTTAGAGTATTCTTACTATTTAAGATGTAGTGGGCTAAACGTATGGCATAGATTTTCTGCCTTATAAGTTAATGGTGTTACATTTTCTACCTTTTGCAGATGGGGCAACTGAGTAATTGACAAAATAAGTAACTTGCTTGCCCAAAGGTCAGTCAGTGTCTATGAATCATAGACTTCTATGACTGTGACTTCCATGGATGTGGTTAACAGAGTGTGCCCCGGCCTTCCAGCAGGCTACAACAGGGCACACTCTGTTAACCAGATCCATGGAAATCACATTCACAGAAGTCTGGGAAAGCAGAAGATCTGTTCTTGGGTCCGGTGGAACTGCAGATTACCAGTGGGACAGTAACTGTTTTTCCTGGTAATCTCCATTTTAGTCTACTCTGCTTACAATTCTGTCAGCTCACAATATTCTCTGAGACACTGACCTATTTTACTCACCGTCACAAAGCAGATTATTGATGGGAGACAAAGAAGAAAACAAGGAGAAATTTATACTAGATCTATCTCTGTGTTAGGCCAATTTACAGCAGATATCCAGCATGTAGCTATTGAATTCTGAGTTTCTGTGAACAAAGTTTCTATATGCCAGAGGATATTTGCCACCAAAGAGCTAGAAATCCATGAGTGCCAGCTTCAAGACTAATATATCAATGGTAGTTCTTAAATTTTTAAAATTCACTATAAGGAGAAAGTGCTATCTTGTAATCAGAAAAAAATTTAACATGTTTAGTGAAGTTTTTTAGATTTGTCATAATTTTAGTCAAATAATATTTTGAGAGATTCCTTGACAGATCAATATTTAAGTAATGACATGTGGAATATTACCTCAACAAAAACACTTTCTAACTATATTGCCTCCCCTTCTCCTTATTTTTTCTACTGACTACAGGGTAAGAGCCTAGGTGACTTGATATTTTCTGTTTCTGGAGAAAAAATATGTGTAGAAAAAATAACTTTCAAGTCATTTTGTCCTCAAACTGTTTCTGCTATAGCTATGATCATATATATAGTGCAATAATTCTCCATTAGAAGATGACATCTACTTGAAAAGGCTTCTTGTTAGTTAAGTGTTTCTTTTATTGAAATATTGGCCCTATGTTCCCAGTTGTAGGAAAAAAAAAAAAAAAAAAAAAAGAGGAGAAAGGAAGGAAGTAGGTAAAAGATGGTAGAATTCAACTTGAGACTGACCAAGAAGAAATAAAGAGATAAGGAATATGTCAAGTGTGCTTTCAGATATCAAATTCCAAACTCTACTCCCATCACAAATCACTCACAGTACCTCTATCACCTGTAACTATGAGAAAGTATAAACTAAGGCAGCAAGGATGGTACCTGTTAGATGTCTTTGAATCAACTACTTTATGCAGTACACACTCACAATGGATATGAACTAAGACCCTGACAAATCTCCAAACCCATAACTACCACCAATGTCCTGTTTTCCCCCTAAAATGCTCTGAAGGATATACTTTACTGAACATTTTGAGTTACCTCTTAGATTCAATTTGAATTTTTCATAGTGAAAGCATGAGGAAACTCTAACAAAGTAGCTAGAAATCAAAGGAAATCAATTTTCTCATGTGACTGAAAAGTACAGAGCTCTCTTCAACAACCTGAGTGAGGTCATCAGGACCTGAGTGTTCCCTCTCATTTTCCCTCCCCTCCTCCTCACCCTCATCCCACTTGTCTACTTGACCCCTTCAGTGCTGCAGTTGGAAAGAGAGATGAAGAGAGCTGGACATCAGTGAGGGCCTCAGCTCTCTTCTTTTTTGGTGTTAAATTTACAGAGTGGTGGGGGAAGTAGGGCAAGAGAAATAAACCACAAGATTTTGAGCTCAGAGGAGCTTACCTCCCAGAATACAGGGGGAGGGATAAAGATAACTCAGATTCTCAGAGACAATAAAAACCACCAGCAGGTTGAGTGAGCAGCAAGAGATCTTAAACTGTGGCCTTTTACCAGAATAGACAGTGAGTCACACAGTGCCCAACAAGGACTGACGCCAGCACCCAGAAACTACAAGACAATGCAGAAACCACAAGACACCTCATTCTCAGCACAGAGACAATGCAGAAGCTTCCTCTTGTTCCCCAGGAAAAGCAAAGGGAATCGGAGGTGACAAAGGCACAGCAGAGAGGAACATTGGAAAATTGAGGTATTTAATAAAAACAAACTTTATTATCCTATGAGCCCCTGTGTCAATTAGCAATAACTGAATTAATCTTTGATAGATAAGATTAAAAGTCTTTGTGGGTTTTGATCCCATTGAAAGAGGTCTTGTCTGTTGACTAAACACAGTCCTCAAAAGAAGTTATCTGTTCTTCCAGCACATTGTACCAAATTTATCATCTTCAACTCCACCCTGTTTCTGGAGCCTCTTGATAGCATATCCTATCAGAACTAGTTTGGAAGTGCTTCCGACCAAGCCATCTGCCTGATTCCCCTGACATATTCCTGTAATCTTGTTCCCTTGACTCTGTCATCCCAAGGTTTCACATCTAGAAGACTTGGCAACAAGTCCAGGATTTTTGGCCTTCCTTGACCCATCTTGCCTAAAGCATTATTTTATCAGCCTCTTCCTTCATCACATTTCTCCTCATCATCTGATCCAGAGAGCCATGTCACTGTCATCCTTACTATATGTGGCTCCTTTTCCTTTGGTGTCTTCCACATTAACCAGGCCATGGTCTCCTAAAGCCTTCTTCATTCCAGGCCAGCTGGCTCTTTTCCTTTCCTAATGCGGTAATTATATCAGCAAAGCATGATCAGCAGGTGGTGAACTGAGGATTGCTTCAAGTACACAATATGAGTTTGCGATATCATTCTCAGTAGCTATTGATCTTCTTTTGTGATATTGTTCTCAATATATATATTGTCCTCCAGGTAATCGTTGAGGCTCTGGATGTCCAAAAATGAATCTGCAGTTTTCTGAAGCCTGTGGTGGTATCCCTATCTGGGAGCTGGGTAACAGTGGAGGGGAAGAGATTAAGATTTCTTTTGACTCCTTTTACTTGAAGGGTTTATTGGTTTATTTATCTGTTTCATTTAGTTTTTTTTTCCTGCTGCCTAGCAGAAATGAGGATTCAGAAGCAAATTAAATTGCATTTTAAAAAATTAAAAACAATGTTCTGTTTCTGTGCACTTGTGTTGTGACTATGCTATAAACTCACTGAAGTTTCAATCAATGCTCTGCCACTTAATTAGCTTTTTGACCTTGGGTTTCTGTAGCTCAGTTTCCTCATCTTCAAATAAAGGTAATAATAGTGCTTTCCTCAGGGACATATTGTATTAAATGAGAAAATCAATGTAAATGCCTCAGTTCAGTGCTATGCATATAGGAAGCACTTAACAAAAATGAATTATTTTTATTCATGTAAAGAGGTCATTGCCTTATGTAGAGTTAATTATCATGGGACAATCTAAGGACTGATTTTGAAAGCATACAGTTAGGATATAACCCAGGATTTATGGGCTCATGACAGAAAGTATCTTTTGAACTGAAGGTCAAAAACATGAAAGAATGAATTAATCAGGGAAAAAAATAAAGATCACTCCTAGAGAGAAGGGACAGTAAGAAATGAAAGAATGTGGAAGTAGCATTAGAGAAACTCCCACAGGTTGTTCCTTTTGGCTCAAGTATCATTGCATATGGAGAATGGGACATTCATCTGGAAAGTGTACAAGGAAGAGTCAAGGTAGATCAGTTAGGAAGGTCCACCAGGAATAAAGAGAATATTAATTAAGGCAACAATTAACAAGTTAGTCAGAGATGAAAGGTGAGAAGGTCTGGGTGAATGACCACACACCTGAGAGATATGCAAGAAATAGAATTCTTAGGTTTTGATTACTGATTAGATATGCAGAGGTTGGGGAAGTGATAAAAAAGAAAGAGAAGAGAAGGTTAAAGATAGCTCTCTGTTTCTGACTTGGTGGAATAACGGTTAGATAGATTATGGGTCTAGACTCCAAAATAAGGAACACATGAAAAGCAGCAAGCTTGAATGGAGATGCAAATAATTCAGTTATAGTTAAGTTGATGTGGAGGAGCCCATGCTGGAAAGATAAATTAAATATGCTGTAATTCATTTTTAAAAATGGATTTTACATTTAGGTAAAAGGTCTGGTTTAGAGATACGTATGTATTTGGGTGCCATCAGCACCTATCTCACTCATAAATGAGATTGCCAAGGAAACAGGGACTGGGAGAAAAGAACTAATGACAGAACAGTAGAGAACTGTGACCTTGGCCCAGCGCAGTGGCTCACGCCTATAATCCCAGCACTATGGGAGGCCAAGGTAGGGGATCATGAGGTCAGGAGTTTGAGACCAGTCTGGCCAACGTGGCAAAACCCAGTCTCTACTAAAAATACAAAAAATTAGCTGGGCATGGTGGCGCGCACCTGTAATCCCAGCTACTTGGGAGGCTGAGGCAGGAGAATCATTTGAACCTGGGAGGTGGAGGTTGCAGTGAGCCAAGATTGCACCACTGCACTCCAGCTTGGGTGACAGAGCGAGACTCCATGAGAGAGAGAGAGAGAGAGAGCTCTGACCCTTAGGATGAGTAGGGACAGAGGATCCCATGAAGGAAGTCACTTGAAGTGGCCAGAAGGTTCATCTAGAAATCAATATAGTAGCACCTTGGGAAAGAAGGGGATATTTAATAGGCCAGATGCTTCAGAAATTTCAAAGATACCCATTCTTGGTTACTAGGGAATAAGACACAAATGGAATGTGAGGGTGTAGTTTTAGGCTTTTAATTCTTCCTAAAATCTTAAATAGTATAGCCATTTACTGCTTTCCCCATCCTCATTCTTTGTCCCCAGTCATTACAGTTGACTCTTGCTACTTCTTAATACGTAGATTCACCCAACACTTTGGTTTTGTTCTACTCACTTCCTTTCTGCTGATTCCTCTTTTCATCTCTCCCCCCTACAGTTCCCATGCAAGCTCTTCACCTCATTACTCTTACTGGTACCCTTATTATTTTTCAACGGTATTCTACCTGGACTTTATGCCTTTAATCCCTTTACAACATCCATTTTCAAGGCTTTTTAACATATGTTTATATTTTAAAAGCTACCCCTCTTGATGTGTATTATACTTTCAGATACTTAAGACTCTGCATAACCTGCTTAACCCCAGTAGTATCACACAGCTCCCTCCCAGCTTTCTGAATACACTACAGTTTCTTCCCTCTAGCCCCAGGCTCTTTGCACAGAGTATTCCTTCTTCTTGAAACACTCGTCACCTTCCATTAACCTACCTCTCACTTGACCTTTTCCTCTCAGCTTAAATGGCACATCCTCCTTTAAGATCCCTACCCTGACCCCTAACATGGGAAAGGTGTTTCCTCTGGGTGTTCCCATATTTGTCTGTGTTTATCCCATCATACAAGTTAGTACATTTAATTGTAATGATCTCAAGCTATTTTCCATGTAAAACTGGGAGTTTCTCAAAGATCCTATTTTCTTTATCAATATATACTCTGCATACAGAAGGAACCTACTAATATTTGCTGAATGGAGTAATAACTATGTAATCATATAAAAGCTGATTACAGTGTAAAATATGAAACAGGACTATATGTACAAATTATAACAATTATATAAAACATATTCATATGTACTTAAAGTACCAGAACACATGCAAAAAATGCTGTAACTGTATAAAAGTTATATAAAAGATTGTATAAGGGCAGTGTTTTTAGAGGTGATTATCTTTCACTTTCTTCCCTTGATTTTCTAGATTGTCAGTGATTTCATTACTTTTTTTTTTTTTTTTTTTTTTTTTTTGAGATGGAGTCTCACTCCATCTCACCCAAGCTAGAGTGCAGTGGTGCCATCTAGGCTCATCGCAAGCTCTTTCTCCCAGGTTCACGCCATTCTCCTGCCTCAGCCTCCAGAGTAGCTGGGACTACAGATGCCCACTACCAAGCCCGGCTAATTTTTTGTATTTTTAGTAGAGATAGGGTTTCACTGTGTTAGCCAGGATGGTCTGGATCTCCTGACCTCATGATCCACCTGCCTCAGCCTCCCAAAGTGCTGGGATTACAGGCGTGAGCCACCGCGCCTGACTGGTCTTATCCGGTTTTTAATTTCTTCATGGTTCAATCTTGGTAGGTTGTATGTGTCTAGGAATTTATACATTTATCCTCAGTTTTTCAATTTATTGGCATTTAGTTGCTCATATTACCCTCTAATGATTCTTTGAATTTCTATGGCATCGGTTGTAATGTCTCCCTTTTTATCCCTGATTTTATTTGTTTGGGTTTTCTCTCTTTTTTTCTTAGTTGGGCTAAAGTTTTGTCAAATGTATCTTTTTGAAAAACCAACTTTTGGTTTCATTGATCTTTGCTATTGCTTTTTTGGTCATTGTTTCAGCTTCATTTATTTCTGCTCTGATATTTATTATTTCTTTTTTTCTACTAATTTTGATTTTGGTTTCCTCTTGCTTTTCAAGTTTGTTAAGGTGCATCATTAGGTTGTTTATTTGAAATTTTTCTACTTTTTTGATGTAGGTGCCTATTGCTATAAACTTTCCTTGTAGCACTATTTTCACTGTATCCCACAGGCTTCCATATGTTATATTTCCATTTGCATTAGTTTAAAATTTTTTTTCAGTTTTTTTTCTTAATCTTTTCATTGACCTACTTGTTCTTTCAGAGCATATTGTTTAATTTCTATGTGTTGTATGTATAGTTTCCAAAATTTCTCTTGTTATTGATTCCTAGTTTTTTACCATTGTTGTTAAAGAAGATACTTAATATAATTTTTTCTTAATTTTTAAAGATGTGTTTGTAGCTTAACATATGGTCTATCCTTAAGAATGATCCATGTGCTGAGGAGAAGAATGTGTATTCTGGATTCATTGGATGAATGTTCCGAAAATAACTATTAGGTCCATTTGGTCTATAGTTCAGATTAAGTCCAGCATTTCCTTGTTTACTATTTTTTTCTGGATGATCTGTCTAATGCTGAAAATGGGGTGTTGATATCTCCAACTGCTATTGTACTGAGGTCTATCTCTTCAGCACTAATATTTGCTTTATATACCTGGGTGTTCCAGTTGGGTGTATATAAATTAACAATTGTTATATCTTCTTGCTGAATTGACCACTTTATCATTATATAATGACCTTTGTCACTTTTTCTAGCT